GGTGCTGCTGCTCCTGTCGGCGGGAATAACCCGCGAAGTACATCGAAAACTGCTGAAACAAACAAATAAACAAACAATTTTATTTATTTTTTTTTTTAAAAAAAGGCCCAAAAGAAGCATGTCGGCAGCAGAAACCGCCGCGCGTGGGTTGCGCGGGGTTTGCGCGGCGTGCTGGTGTGACGGAGCAGACCTCTCCAAAATGGGTGTCTAGAGGAGCCGGTGCGTGTATTCCCGGCCTTACCGGTGGGTCGGGGGCTGTCTGCAACCCCCCGCCTCAGTCCCTTCCTCCTGCGGGGTGTGGAGATCGAGGCTTTTTGCTGCTTGCAAGGAGGAAGGAAAATACCTGTTAGGGTTTTGAGTTGCTCCTATTTTGCTAACGGCTGACTTATTCCTGCCATTGGTGGCTTCCTTGTCTTAGATTTCAATACTTCATTTATTTGAGCACTAAAACCCAAAAAAAAAACCCAAACCCCAAAACTTTTCCTTTTACCCTTGCTATCATGAAAGCATGGCTTGACTTTTCCTAGCCTCCTTTCACCTCGCGTTGACTGTCTTCCATTCGGAACAAATCACGAAATTTGTAACAGCATAGGGAACTAAGAACTGGAAAACCAAACTGTGCTAACATTAGAAGTATGCGTGCCAGCCTTTTGGGGTTTTTTTGGTTTTTTGTTTTTTTGGTTTTTTTTTTCTGGCCAGCCAGACCTGCTGTACAAAAATACCAGCACTTGAAAAGTTCAAATGCCATCATTGATTACTTATGTTCTGATATCATAGTAAAGATATGTCTACCTAATGTATGCAGAAATTATGGATGCAGTGAGAGGCAGTGTGTAGATACACAAGCTATGCTTTGGAAGTAATTCGTTATGAGCATCCTATCCTGAGTGAAATAAACTGGTATTATGGGGAAACTAAAAAACATTCGGTTGACATCAGTGCACTTCCTCTGTGCCCCTGCTTGCATCTTTTAGGCGAGAGTGAGGCATCCTGTCACCGGCATAAATATTTGCTGTACTTCGCAAAGTAAATAAATAAAGTGTGAATAGCCATGACTAAAGCTAAAATGAAATGAAAAGGTCCCACAGGGGTACTTGCTCCATAAGAGCTAGAAGCACCAGTCCCAAATCAGAACAGCCCCACTATGGAACGCAATGTATAGAACAAAATCTCAGTTGCTTCTCTAGTGAACTTTTCCATAGAATGAGACGAGTGGCAGCCCAGGGGTGGCTTGCAGGAGAATACATGGAAACAAACATCAAGATGTTGCTATTAAAGGTGTTTTCAAGCACTGAGAGCAAATCACAGTCTAGAACATGCATATCGATAAAAAGCCTTTTAGAAGCAAGCTTATTTTGTGCCACCTATAAGTTAGCACACAAAAAATCTTTTTCAGAAATGTCACTCTTTGATAAACTTTGTTTAGAAGTAGGTGCTGGCAGAAGTTACCCCACAGGTGTTTTATTCACACACAAATGCTACAGTACAAGACATAGAAATTTTGGGAACAGAGTAGGAGGACCGTGTATGGAAAGCCTGACATTTTATTTCTTTGGGTCTTTTGGCTTTGTACAAATGGGTGCTGTGTAACAGAAGGAAAGCCAAGAATATCTGAAAAGGAGCTGCAGAAGAATGTAACCATGTATTTTTCTAGTTTCATTGCAGTCCCCTGTTTCTAATTATAAGCCAGCTGCTGAAGTGACTTCATTCAATAACTATTTGGATTTGATCCTGTCTACCACTCCAGTCTCAGACTCACAGTTCCCCAGCTCCAATCATCTATGTAATTCAAAAGCAATATGATTATAAAATATTAAATGTGTCCATCTTTTCTTCCCAGAAAAAGAACTTGCAAAAAAAAAGAAGCTTAAAAATACAGTTTCATTTTTTCCAAGTAAAACTTGGCTTTCAAGAAAAAGAACAAAAAGGATTTTTATGTCACAACCTTCCTCGTAAACATGTTTGTATAGTGTTGTCTTTTATAGGCATACTAGTACATTAAAAAGCAAACACTTTGTATTTCAGGTATACAAGAAATCTTGTGGACAATGGAAATGGAAAGTTCAACTTGATGATCTTGTGCTGGGGTGAAGGGCATGGCAGGTTTGTATCCAAAGTCCATGGGTTTAGCAAACAGATGTAAAGCCACCATATCTTTCATTGTCGTATAAAAAGAGAAAAATATCATCCCTATGTGAATAGCTATCAGAAAGAGTCTGGAAACTAAGTGCAGAGCTCCTATTCATATAGCAGTCCTGCGTATTTGCTGTATCTTTTGCAAGTTCATACCTCATGGACATTTTTAGAGCACTCTTTTAAAGATGCTCTGGTTTTCTACCAAATCTAAGCTTCCCTTCTGCCAGACGAAGTTTTTAGTCCCAGACGTACAGCAGGTCCTGTGAGCAGGACAGGTTGAACAGACCCTGTGCAACCTGTCCCATACATCAGACCCATACAACACTTGGTTGCAGAAACAGGACTTGATGCAGTTTAAATAGTCTTTGTTCTCTCATGGTGTTTAAATATCGCCTCTGTAACAAGATGAGAAAAGTAGATTTGGGTTAGGACTGCAGGCTGTGAGGAGGGAGCCCCTTTTCAGGAGTATTTGTCTTTCTTTAGGTTCATGCATCCCATCTCCTCCCTGAAAATGGGCCATGCTGCTGATGTGGCCTCCTGAGTTGTGTGCACAGACTGACCACTGAGTTGTGTAGTCCTACAAATGTGAGGGCAGGATCTGTCCCTTAGAGGGTCTCTTGCAAAATATTGGCTAAAACAAATCATGAAATAACAAAACCTGCAGGTTTTGCCTGATTGTTCTCGCATATAAATAGAAAACCTAAGAAGATGCTGGAGTAGTTTTTTGTTTGCTTTAATTGAGCATGCAATTGAACATTACAGTATTCCTTAGGGGAGGCCATGCCATTATATTCAGAGGGATGTAGGAACCAAGCCCACCAGCTCTACTCCTTCCAGGCTATTCCCACAAAGCCTGTAATTTATGTCAAATTGTGTTTGAGTTGGATGAGCATTTGCTAGAGCTAGACTGAGACCACAAGTTGGTTTTGCTTCCTGTATGAGGAGGATCAGATTGTTCTCATGGCTTGTGGAAGGAGCGTGACAATGTGGTACTTGTGAACTGTTCTGTGCCTGAAGCAAGCTCTGCTCTCTTGGCATCTCAGTTTGTGAGAAACCATGACATTTGTTTACTGAAAACAGTAACGTACAAGTACCATGTTTTTGATTGAAGCTCATTAGCACTGTACTTCTGGGAGGATCAAATTTCCCCTTCTCCCTCACCCCTGATGAGTGGGGAGCTCTCCCTTTGTCCTAAACCTATTGACAGCTATTCCTTTATTTAAAAAAAAACCCACACCAAAACTAAACTATATATCTAGCCCATATGTCTCCAAATGTAGCAATTAAAACGTGCTTTGGAGCAAGGAGACAGATCAAGCAAGCAGAGAAATCATACTGGATCCTACTGTTTTGTTCATGTCTTGCCAGGCTGCTGAAATTAACAGCTTACTGTTGCCATTTGTACTTAGTACTATTGGAGTGAGAGGTACAGCATTTTTACTTCAACAAATGCCTGTGTACCCCAGCAGTAAAGAGACCACAGAAATTAAGCAGAAGTAGCTCATTTCTCCCATGTTTTGGGAGTGAGCATGGTGGATCTGCAAATACCAGGTATACTTGCAGGTTTCTACTAGCCTCTGCCTGGGGCCACTGTGGAAAGTGTTGTTTTCCTTCTTGGCCCACAAGAGGTTTTGTGTTCTGAAGAATTTGTGTGTCCTCCTCCCTCCTCCAGACTTCCTTTGTATCTCTCTGTGGCAAAGTCATAGGTTGATCAATATCTGACTCTTCTCCAAGTCCTGCTCTATGTGAGCTTATCTCAACGCATTTCTAAAGTAGCAGTTTTAAGTAAGTATACCTTAGTCACAGCAAATGTTTTTTTCCTAAGACTTTTGTGCATGACCCATGTGCAATAGCATTTAATTTTTGGGCTGTGTCCAGATACAATGTGCTATGCCATCTGACCTGTTTGCTGTGCTGAAATTAAATACGTGTATCACGCTAAGTTTGGTTATTCCTTTTACATATATAGCAGCATCCATGATCACACTGATTCACACTGCTTTATGAAGATCCTCCAGGGAAATCTAAAGGAGACTCTGTTTGAGTGGCCTGAGAAGAAAGGGAATGGTGAAATGGCCAAGAAATCAGAACGAGTTTTGAGGGAAAATCAATGTGCCTATATTAATGGTAAGCTATTAAGCTTGTTTTGACAACTACCTATCCATGAGTCTTATTCCTAACATCATACTAATGGCTTTATGAAGAGTTTAAGAACATGGCACCTCTAGATTCTGCACAAAGCTGTACATTCAGTAAAACAAACAACAAAAAATGTCTTTTTAACTCACTCTTAAGACATTGCAGCTATTGCTTGATACTTAGATTCGCTGGATATCTCCTCTAGACTAAGCAGCCTTCAGCACTGTATCCGTAATGACTATCTGAAGTTGCTTATAAACAGACTTTGAATAGTATTTTGTGAGAAATAAAGGAAGCAAAGTTTATACTCTACTTTTTATATACACCTCTATTTTTTTCAAAGAAATAATAATTTTGGTCAAATTCCTAGGTCAAAAATGTAAAAGCTGTCTATGGAATAAATTGACCCACCAGGAGCAGAGGCCTTGATTCTCAGTGCTACTTCTTGTCCAAATCAACAACATACTGTAGTGCTGAAGTGCAGCATCAGCAGAATTGAAATGCTCAGGTCTACCCAGTCTACCAAAAAAAATGCCTGACTCCACAGGTGCTGAGAGACAGCTGAGTGTCCACCAGTAAGGCTCACTGGGTACCTAAATCCATGCCATTACACGTATCTGTAACTATCACCACCTTTTGCTATGTGGAAGGCCATCCTCGAGTGGCCATCTGGCTGTAACATATTCTGATGCTATGTAAGACATTGCACATCATGCTGAACAGCATTGGGTTAAGCAGAACAAAGGCAAAGTGTCAGAGAAGGGGGCTATCTGCCTTTTATGTGATGAGCTAATAGCTGGAGCACTCACCTTGGGCTGAGCTTGGGAGCTCCCCAGTTGGAGGGAGCCTCATGTTGTGTTGTGAACTAAGCCAGGGTGAGGGCGTTGGGAATGAAAGGCTAGTGCTCTGTGGCCCTGTGTTGAAGGTATGCCACATTGAGTGAAAACACAAAATCCGTAGGACAGGACATGCAAGAAGGAGCTTGGCATGTCTGCTGATGCTCCTATGCCAGGGATGTGGGTTCTCAGACTCAGCCAGGTTTTCCTACCTATGTGGTTCTTTCCAATGCAAGCAATTGCACCCTGTGTGCATCTGATCCAAAACTTCCTTGGTTGTTTTAAGCAAATTTGGTATCCGATTTGCTGAGGCAGTTTGGGTCTCTGCCATGTTTCATAACAGATGTTTTGGTTTAAAAGAAATGGGTAAAACAAGTAGAGGGAAAACACTGACAGTGTGGTGATGGCTCTAACTGCTTCAGTAGTGAGTGACCTTCGTATTTCTATTGCGTGCTTCTTGGTTGCTCTTGTACTTTATTTTTGAGGTTAGAAGACACTAAACAGTATTTATTTGAGTTTCCCGTTAGATAGACACAGATTTAGTTGG